ACTGGGAGCCAAACTGGGAGCACTGGGAGGGACTGGGAAGGAACTGGGAGCCAAACTGGGAGCACTGGGACGGACTGGGGGGAACTGGGAGGGACTGGGAACCAAACTGGGAGCACTGGGAGGGACTGGGAGGGAACTGGGAGGGACTAGGGGCCAAACTGGGAGCACTGGGAGGGACTGGGAACCAAACTGGGAGGGACTGGGAGGGACTGGGAGGGACTGGGGGGAACTGGGAACCAAACTGGGAGCACTGGGAGGGACTGGGAACCAAACTGGGAACACTGGGAAGGACTGGGAGTCAAACTGGGAGCACTGGGAACCAAACTGGGAGGGAACTGGGAATTCCCATTTTCATACTGGGAGGACACTGGGCTATACTGGGAGAATACTGGTCCATACTGGGAGTTCACTGGCCCATACTGGTCCGTACTGGTTTGTAATGGGAATTCCAATTTCCATACCATCCATACTGGTCCATACTGGGAAGTCACTGGTTCATACTGGTTTATACTGGTCCGTACCAGTTCTTACTGGTCTGTACTGGTTCATACTGATCCACGCTGGTCCATACTGGTCCATACTGGTTTATACTGGGAATTCCCATATCCATATCATCCATACTGGTCCATACTGGGAAGTCACTGGGCCATACTGATCTGTACTGGTCTATACTGGTTTATACTGGTGCATACTGGTCCATACTGGTTTATACTGGTGCATACTGGTCTGTCCTGGTCTGTACTGGTCCATACTGGTCTGTATACTGGTCCATACTGGTTTATACTGGTCCATACTGGTTTATACTGGTTTGTACTGGTTTAAACTGGTCTGTACTGTTTTATACTGTTTTATACTGGTCCATACTAGTCCGTACTGGTCTATACCGGTCCATACTGGTTTATACTGCTTTAAACTGGTCCATACTGGTCCGTACTGGTCCATACTGGTCTGTACTGGTTTATACTGGTTTATACTGGTCCGTACTGGTCCGTACTGGTCCATACTGGTCCATACTGGTTTATACTGGCTCATACTGGTTTATACTGGTCCGTACTGGTCCGTACTGGTCCATACTGCTTTGTACCGGTCCGTACTGGTTTATACTGGTTTATACTGGTTTATACCGGTCTGTACCAGTCCGTACTGGTCCGTACTGGTCCATACCGGTCCGTACTGGTCCATACTGGTCCATACTGGTCCATACTGGTTTATAACGGTCCATACTGGTCCGTACTGGTCTATACCGGTCCGTACTGGTCTATACTGGTCCATACTGGTCCGTACTGGTCTATACCGGTCCGTACTGGTCTATACTGGTCCATACGGGTCCGTACTGGTCTATACCAGTCCGTACTGGTCTATACCGGTCCGTACTGGTCCATACTGGTCCGTACTGGTCCGTACTGGTCTATACTGGTCCATACTGGTCCATACCGGTCCGTACTGGTCCGTACTGGTCTATACCGGTCCATACTAGTCTATACCGGTCCGTACTGGTCCGTACTGGTCCATACCGGTCCATACTGGTCTATACTGGTCCATACTGGTTTATACCAATCCGTACTGGTCCATACCGGTCCGTACTGGTCCGTACTGGTCCGTACTGGTCCATACTGGTCCGTACTGGTCTATACCGGTCCATACTGGTCTATACCGGTCCGTACTGGTCTATACCGGTCCGTACTGGTCCGTACTGGTCCGTACTGGTCTATACCGGTCCGTACTGGTCCATACTGGTCCGTACTGGTCCATACTGGTTTATACCGGTCCGTACTGGTCCATACTGGTCCGTACTGGTCTCCTCCGCAGGGCGGCGCCGTGGGGCCGCGGGCCCGAAGCCATGGGGGCCCCCCCGGCCCCCCCGGGCCCCCCCCGGGCCCCCCAAGACACGGGGGGGCCCCGCCCCCCCCCACTGTGAACCCCAAAACCGGGGGGGGTGGGGGGGGAGGGGAACCCCCCAAAAATGGGGCTCCCCCCCACCCCTCCCCCACCCCTCCCCCACCCCCTGTCCGTTCGTGTGCGGTGGGGGGAGGGGGATTTGGGGGACCCCCCCCCCCAAAATGGGACCCCCAAAAAAAGGGATCCCGAAAAAGGGAATCCCCAAAAAAAATCCCAAAAATTGGGGAGGGGGTCCCCAAAAAGAGATCCCAAAAAAAGGGACCCTAAAAATTGGGGAGGGGAGACCCTAAAAAAAAAAAAGGGATCCCAAATTTGGGGAGGGGGAACCCCAAAAAGAGATGGCAAAAATGGGACCCCAAAAAACGGGATCCCAAAAAAAGGGACCCCAAATTTGGGGAGGGGGGACCCTAAAAATAAAAGGGATCCCAAAAAAGGGACCCCAAAAAACAGAATCCCATAAAAAGGGACCCCAAAACTGGGGAGGGGGGACCCCAAAAAAAGGGACCCCAAAAAGAGATCCCAAAAAAAGGGACCCAAAAAAAGGGAACCCAAATTTGGGGAGGGGGGACCCCAAAAATAAAAGGGATCCCAAAAAAGGGACCCCGAATTTGGGGAGGGGGGACCCCAAAAAGAGACCCCAAAAAACGGAATCCCAAAAAAAGGGACCCAGAATTTGGGGAGGGGGGACCCCAAAAAGAGATCCCAAAAAAGGGATCCCACAATGGGAGAGGGGGGACCACAAAAAGGGAACTTGGGGTGTCCCCTCCCAAAAAAAGGGACCCCAAAATGGGACCCCAAAAAAAGGGATCCCAAAATTGGGGAGGTGGGACCCCAAAATGAGATCCCAAAAAGAGACCCCAAGAAAATGGATCTCAAAAAAAAGGACCCCAAAATTGGGGAAGGGGGACCCCAAAAAGGGGACCCCAAAAAAAGGGACTTCAAAATGGGACTCCAAAGCTGGGGAGGGGGAACCCCAAAAAATGGACCCCAAAAAGAGATCCCAAAAAAGGGACCCCGAAATGGGAGAGAAAGGACCCCAAAATGGGACCCCAACATTGGGGAGGGGGGGACCCTAAAAAAGGGATCCAAAATGGGAGAGAAGAGACCCCAAAAAAAGGGAGCCCAAACAAAATTCCCAAAAAAGGGACCCCAAAAAGAGACCCCAAAATGGGAACTTGGGGTGCCCCCTCCCCAAAAAACAGGGACCCCAAAAAAAGTGATCTCAAAAAAAAGGGACCCCAAAATAGGAGAGGGGGGGACCCCAAAAAGGGAAGGGACCCCAAAATGGGACCCCAAAAAAGCACCTTGGGGTGTCCCTCCCCCCAAAAAAGGGACCCCAAAAAAGAGACCCCAAAAAAGGGACCCCCGGTGACCCCTCCAAATAAAAGGACCCCAAAAAAGGGATCCCCAAAAAAGGACCCCAAAAGGGACCCCCAGTGTACCCCCCAAAAAAGGGACCCCCATAAAAGGGACCTCAAAAAAAGGACCCCCAAAAAAGGACCCCAAAAAGGACCCCCGGTGTCCCCTCCCCAAAAAAAAGGGACTCCAAAAAAGGGACCCCCCCAAAAAGGGACCCCAAAAAAGGGACCCCCCAAAAAAGGGTCCCCAAAATG